AAAACGAATCACGCAGAACACGTAACGTTCTAGAAGAAGGTATCTTGAGTGGCCTTGAAGAAGATATGTTTTATAGGAAACCAACTAATGGAGAAAAACTACAGAGTTTTTTGCTGATCGTCAACACCATACTGAATCGCTGATAAAGAAAGATATCGTACGAGTGAAATTATACAATGAATAAACTATTAAATTTGCCAATAGAAAATCATTGAAAAGGGTTTGTCCTAGGAATGGGCACTCTATTATTAATGAAGAGAAATTCAAATTACGGATAAGTGATAAATAGTAATAAAAAGGTTACGTGTTTTTGGCACGTGACAACTCCCCCTCTCCTTGGAGTAGAAGGGTATCTACAGTGTAGATAACCGACGATAGTTAATAACGCTGAGCTACCAATAACCTATAGAAACAAGAATCAAGCTGATTATCAGAATCAAAGAGAATATTCAAATTCACACGAAAATTCCCACCAAAAAATATTCTAATGGGTACACTGGCAATACTTTTGAAGTGGAAACTGATCTACTCATGTTCGGCGACCAGATAAATTAGCACTGCGTAATCCTTATTGGGCCTGAGGATAATCTCGTGTACCAATCTCATTCCGAAACAAAGGCAGAGCCCCCATTACACCTCTCCGTACACCAAGCCAGACATGACCAACCGATGGTGGACAGCACAATAACAAGAATTGTAACCCATATTTCCACCCTTATATGGAGCTAAGATATAGTTCTACCAGACTGAAAGGTACTCAAGGCACCAGGATTCGATCAAACAAAGAGAAAAAAAGACAAATTTAGATAGGGTGATCCGTGATGTGTTACTGCCGGCGATCCGTCTGAAAGCTATACTGAGCGGGGCTGAGGTGTAACGCAGTAGCAACGGGGTGTTTGTCATCGTCAGGATGTTACTGAGACGCCCACCAAACCAATCGCACCCGACGCACACCCTCCCGAATAAAACCTGCACAAAGGGTAACAAAATGGGGCCTGACACACGTCGGCGCTCAACACAACGCAGCCTTTAATGAATCAACCTAAATTACAAAAAAAAAGAAATTGATCGAAGCCACACAACATCCAAGGTCAATATCGGTATTAAAGTCAAAATCAGGTAATAACAAGATCAAGATCAGGACATGAGTTATGACACGTCCAAAATCATGAATCAAAAAAGGAAGAAAAATATAACGTAAAGGCAAGATAAGATAAACGAACTAATAAAGGTAATCAATACTTGATCACGAAGATAAAAGATAGTCGAAATAGGAAAATTAAATCAAGGAATGGATATGTCAAATTTAACATAACATTCAGTAGTCTCAGAAGAGAACAAATTGTATACCCACTTGTTGATATGTGCAGACTTGCAAGTTTTCCTCCAAGCAATCTGGCCATAACCCAACAAATTGTCCACTCTACAGGACAAAACGTAAGATAAGACAAGATAAGATAAAACACGTAATTCAAGAATTATACTGAACAAAGGGAGTTATCAATCGACAAACTCCTACCTTCCTTCACATAGATGGATGAATATGAAAGGTAAGACAAGAGTAAGCAACTAATCGATCTAGTAAAAGACAAGGATAATAATGTTCAGTATATCGCATAACCTAAATCACCACTCGATAATAGGAACAGTATGTGGAAAAATCCAACAATTAAGACTCAACACGGTAGTGATTAACTTATATGAGCCAGGTTATTCAGATGGTATAGCTTAGATGTTATAAAGTGTTGATACATGTTGACTACCACCGGCAGTTTTCCCGCCACGGACAAATTCTAAGGCCCCAGCCCGTAGGGCTATTGGAAAGGAGGTCCCATGCACCTCTGTTACAGATTTGCGCAGAACACTGGATAATGATCCTGAGGCATCTTCCTTGATGGAAGACGCAGATGTAGATGACTTCTACAGCTCCTTCATCGAGAGATGGCACAGATGGTCTTTGAAGAGCAAGTGATCAAGCATGAGGAGGAAGCAAAGAAAGAGACTGAGGATATTGTTGACCCTCATCTGCACCCTTGCAAAAAATCTGTCAGCAGATGTGCTCTGATGAAAATGGGACTTGTGCAGCCTGCCAGGCCAAAATGAGCGATGATATGAAGAGCTCTTAAACCTCGATTGTTCCATGGGTTGATGATGTGAGGGCATTAGATGGTGGGGTAGTTAGTTTTTCTAACCAACCAATTTTGTCAGCATATAACTTGAGAAAATTTAGCTATGTAATACACGAGGTGAAAACTTCATTTGGTGGATGCCCCTTAATATGCCTGATAGGTCCCATAAAGTGTTTCAACGAGTCATTCAATATTTAGATGTGGAAGCAACAAATGTAATTGCAAAAAAATCAGAAAATTCTTTCCACAAACGCGAATTTTCCGCCTTGTGTAAGTAGTTCCAGTGAAAATAACAGTTGTGATGTGATGATTCGATGCCTTAACTTAGCCATACCGGAGCCAACTGAAGTGTATAGTAAACATTGGTATATTTTCCTACGCTAATACTGTAAACCAAAAATACCAATTTTTATATCTAGCTCCTACATCTTTATAGGCCCTTAAACATCTTGCGCAATTTGTTTTTCTATTGTTGCGTGTTCTAATTTTATAGTTTCAGTTATACCCCAGTTGCATGTAAAAATTTCTGTAAAGACTGATATTCATGGAGGAGATGCTAGGAATACTTTTGCACCTTGAATCTAAAGCATAGTCTTCCACTACTTGAACCAAAGATGAAGTAAGAATGTGAAAACTGATGTGCTTCTATGTAAATGTCTAGGAATTTTATTTTTATTGGAGAGAACAGTACGCCTTGAACCCTATCACATTTATTTAGTAAACCCAAAATCAAGGTACTGACTGAAAATCGCGGGAATACGTTATATTTATGCTCCACAAAAATCTCCGATTTCTCTGGAAATTGTGAGCAAATAAATTAGATGAATATCTTAAAAGTGTGTTTAGAAGTGCAACAAAATCGTGAATGCACAAAAATAGTAATCGAAGAAGAAGGAAGGTGTAGTACGAGGTGAGTCTGATTCCATCTGTCCAGTTGGTATATAATAAAAAGTATCGAGTATCGATAAAGGTCAAGGTCCGACGGGTTGACTCACCCACTGACTTTTTGTGCGGCTTGACCATCTATAAGATATAATATAACATAAGATATAGGAAAAGGTAAACAAGATAACACGAAATTCGTGAACAATCGAATACATTTAAGAACAGTGACGGAATGATGCAAAAAGGAAAGCGGAGGACTGAGACGACATATTTAAAAAACCCAAGAAAACTAACAGGTCACCACGACGAACCGATACGACAAACCAAGGAATGCTAAATGAAATGATGAGCTTGCTGACAACACTGGCAGAAGATATGAAAGATATTAAAAACCAACAGGCCCTACAAACTGAACACATACAATCATTGAAAAGTGAAATCCAGGAGTTTAAAAAGAACAAGAGGAGTTAAGAAGGAAGTAAGGATCCTAAAAGAGGCAAATGAAAATGCCCTAATCGAAATTGATCACCTTAAAAAGCAGGTAACCGACTCTAACGAGAAGTTACAAAGTATAGAAAATAAAAAAGGAAAAAGAATATTGTAGTTCAAGGCCTGCCAATAAATGATAGAACAAGCACATTGAGAGAACCTATGCACAACTTTATCCAGAAAGAAATTGGAGTAGATGTGAAAGTCAACTCAGCAAGGAAACTAGGAGAAAAGGTTTGCCTAGTAGAGTTTGACAGCTATTCTGATAAGAGTCATGAAACATAAGAGCAAACTCAATAAACTAAGCGAAAAGGTATACATAAACAATGATCTGTCGAAAATTGAAAGGCAAATACAGACCAAGATCAGAATTATTTCCAGAGATCCAAGAGTTAAAGGAAAGCAAATCAAAATGGCGTACCAAAAACTCATTATAGATGGAGAAGTATGAAATGAAACATCGAAACAGATCAGCTGGAAAGATGAAAAATAACAGACAAAAAGCTAGAAAACCTGGATGCTCTCAGTGAGATAATGATGATGACCAGGCTAGCAAAGGGACTACGAAGTGGAAAATCAAAAACAAAGAATAACAAAACAGACTTGAAACGCGGCACATGGAATATAAGAGGCTTGTGCCAAGCTGGTCGATTAAAACACTTGGCCAATGAATTAGAAAAACACAACTTTCAAATAGTGGCATTACAAGAAACCAACAAAAAGGACAATGCAACCAGCAAATTGGAAATTACATATTTTTCAGCAGTGGTGGGGAGAATAGATTATTTGGAACAGGATGTATGGTTAGCATGCGGCTTAAAAGTATAGTAGGAGATTTTAGCCCTGTATCTGAAAGGATATGTACGCTCGTGATATGGGGAAAATATCAAAAAATAACTTTCATAAATGTGAATTATTAGATGAAATGAAATATATGATCGTATACCAAGGTATGACTTGAAAATAGTAATAGGGGATACCAATGCTAAGATAGGCAGAGAAGAAGTATACTTTCCCACAATTGGAAGACATAGTCTGCATATGGAAACAAATGAAAATCGTCATTTTCTAATAGATTTTGTCAGGGAAAAAGCTTGGATTATAAAAAGCACATACTTTGAAAGAAAAGACATTTACAAAGGCACATGGAGGTCGCCCAATGGTGAGACGATCAATCAAATAGACCACGTATTGATAGATAGGATGAAGAAAAATGTATCACGAACGTAAGAACCTACAGGGGACCTGATGCGGACTCTGACCACTTCATTGTTGGAACAATGTTGAGAGAAATTAAGCAAAGCAGGACTGATCAGACTACAGACTGAAGAAGAACGGAAAGAATATGAGGGAACATTACCAAAGAATTGAATAGAATTACGCAGAACGAGAATGTAGATCAGGCATGCTAACAAGGGTACTAAAGTCAAACAGCAACCTTGGTTCGATGATCAATGCAGAGAAGAATTGGAAATGCAAAACAGATTACGACTAAAAATGCTAACACAGAAAACAAGTGAGGCGGAAAGTAACTACTCCTTGCAAAAGAAGAAAATGAAACAGATTTTAAGAGAAAAGAAATATCACGAAAATAATCTACAGCACATAGGAGACAATTATAAAAACAAACAGATCAGAAACTTATATCAAGGAGTAAATAATGAAAAGCGGGGTTACCAAACTAGAACTACGTACTACAAGGATAAAAATGGTAAGAAGATATTCGATGAGGAAGAGGCCCTTGCACGCTGGAAACAATACTTTGAGCAGTTGCTAAACCCTGCAGACGACGCGGCCAATGACTACAACGAGAAAAATTCAACAATCCATCAAAGACCTCAACTAACTGAAGAAGATCCGCAAACATTATCGGTAGTCGAAAACCTCATAAGCATCCTGAAAAATGGTAAGATCCAAAAATGTTTAATCTGTTTTTAACTTGTCTTGTCATATTTATATAATTTTGACCATTGTATCATCTATCCAGCTCTCACCATGTTACTGGACGTTTCCCTCATCCTATACGTAAACAACAATTAGCAACATCCTCACATACTACTCTCCTGATGATGATGGCAAGTCCATTGAAAGCTAGAGAGAATTAAAAAAGTATAAAGAGTCCTCTTTGCTTAAATTTTGTCGAAGTACCCAACAAAAGGCGGAAGCTATATATATATATATAACTTGAGACGTGGTCATTGTCGTCTAAACCAGTTAGGTGAAAAATTAAAGCTTCCGCCTTTTGTTGGGTACTTCGACAAAATTTAAGCAAAGAGGACTCTTTATACTTTTTTTAATTCTCTCTAGCTTGGAGTGACTTTAATTTTTCGCGTCACCGATTCATACAAAGATAATACTTTATTTTAAAAAAAAAAACTGATCGAAATTAAAATCGATGAGAATGCAGAAGCGACGCAGCATGTGTTAAAGCTTAGAGAGCGCGTAGCCGCCCTATCTGAGCCAACCATGGTGGAAATCGTCGAGGAAGCAA